ACATTTCTGAAACGCAAATGAATTTCAATGGTTGCCCAAGTAGCAGAATGACGTCAAATGACGTATTAATAACGTCTTAATGACGTCTCTAACGTCAATAACGTCATCCTGGGTGCGTTCAGCAGAAAAAGCAACACAGCGAACGATCAGTAATTTTTTTAAATGATTGGACCTTGCCTTCAATTCTTCTCTGGATCCACGTGTAGAAACCAATTGTAATAAAGAATTATTGAGCGCTCATTGAGCTGCTTTCTCCGCTGAACGCAGCCAGCTCACTTCTTCCACGGTAAGAAATCACCGCCTTTGTCTGTTACACATATCTGCAACACATACCAGTTCAAACTGCTCGTGTGACACACTCATGTAAATGATCAGAATACCACTCATAACATAACTCAACTAGAGACTTCAAATAACAACTCATTGAAACGCAAAATTTTCTACGGCGCCAGATTCGAATAGAAGGCATTACTTTCGTACCGACCTTCGTATTTATACAATTACATTAGTAAAAAATTAAAATAAAATTATATAACCTGTACTAATGTATATATGTATCAATATACGTACATTAATATTCATGGGAACCTATGTTGAAATAATACGTGTATTTATACGTTACATGTACACAATTGTTAAGTGTGAAGCTGTATATCGTGCAATATGCGATCTTGAGTGGTACAAATTGGAATCAAGAAAAGCGAGGAATCTTATTTTGTTAATGGTACGAGCCAACGAACCGTTTTGCATCACAGCAGGAAAAATTTTTCCCTTAACAATGGCTACATTTTGCAGCGTAAGATATAATAATTTCTAGTTTAACTTTTTGCTTTCGTACCAAATACAATTTAACTTATTTCCCTATTTAACACATTCTGTGCCGCCGTGGATGGCCCACGCTGTATTTTTCGATGTGAGTGCATAATTATGATCTATGGTGCAATATTGGTATTGTAGTCCATAATATCATACCATGCCGCTCTGCGATCATGTTTTTGATTTGAGATATCGAATCATTACAATCTTTTATTTCTTACTTTATTTAAGAATTATCGATTAATATATAGAAATGTTAACAAGCTGGGCACAATACAAGAAATTTAACTACAAAAGTTTTAATATTTTTTAAGCACTATCCCAACTGTATTCACTTATATCCTGTTTTAACGTAAAACAGCATTATGTATCACTTTAGTTATAAAATATTTATTGATTAAATAATTATTAATAAACATTTGTATAAAATATCAATTTTATTAAATAATTAACTTGAAAAGTATATATTCTTGCTGTGTTCTGAATAGCATTTAGCCACATTAGACGTTCATCATTATAACAATAACAATTTTTTACTCATTATAAAATACATTTTATTTTACAAATATAATAACCATGCCGCATTGGTTACGGATAATCTACGTGGACGACAAATGAAATTGGTCCGGCTCGGAACATGTTAATTTTGATCAAAAGCAGTCAATTACTAAGCAAACATGAATGTAAAAAATTGTTATAATTATTATTATAACATAGTATAAAAGTGTAACTAAAGTTATTTTTGCGAATATTTTTTTCCATATTATATCTAAATAATAATGATATACTTTCTTTCAGCTTTTAAAAACGTCGGCTGGATATATATCGTTTTTACTAGCAAAAGGAAGTTGAAAATCACGTTAATATGCTTTTATTCAGTCATTCCATAGAAAAGACAAATGTATATGCAATAAAATATTTTCAAACAAAAGCTAATAATTATGTCTAATTATGATTAATAAAAATAAAGTTTCGTGTTATTTACATCGATGTTTATTATTTATTGGAAATTATATTATTATGTATCTTGATAGGTGATAGTTTTCAATATTTATTAGGAAAATAATTCAATCAAGTTCAGAGGTTTCTTTTGGGGGGGGGGGGGACACTTTCAAACGATTTAAATAATTTTTTAATTATCAGTAGTTTTTGTGTGTATAACTAAATTTGGTGACAATTATAAATCGATGTAAGATGGATCAACCTATATAAATATTTCGATGAGATTATTACTGTTTGCTCTAATTTTAGCAATTAAAGAGATGAAAAGAAGACGGATAAATGCTCAACGTAAACGTTTACATTATTTATGTCAATGTTGTATTCGTGTTGTATGTAATAATCAGTATAGTATTTCTTAATACATGAAATTTGCATTTGCTTAATAATCACATTTTTTTTTTAAATTTTATGTGAAAAAATGTTTTGAGTTCTGAAATATAAAATAAGTGAACTAATTATATATTTTTTATTTAACAACATTTCAAAACTTGCACATAACATTATTTATTATGACCAACATAAAACAATTCTCATATAATAATGATAATAACTTGATATAGTAAACGTCGTTTTCGTATTATACTCTATAACTCTATATGATCGCATCGCGTTTATTACCTTGCAGAAAGTTAAAATTCGAAATATTCCAAGAAATATTCTCACCGATGTAGTTTATGAACTGCATCTTTTTTACAGCGTAATCGGCTTTCTTTTCCATGCAAGTTTTTTGTCCCCTTGTTGCCTCTACAGAAGGTCTATTAAAAATTCAACGACACGTCGTTGTCGTTGGTCACAAAATGATATGCGTGACAGAACATTATGGAGTTGGAAAAACTTGTATAACAAGTTCGATGAACATGCTACGACCCAACATATCTCCCTGTTTATTAGTACATAGGCATTAATATTTTTGTGATCAATTCTTATGCCCGTAAAGTTTTGTACGAACTGAAAAAACGCTATCAACTGGGGAATAGAGTATTTGTAATATTTAATACATTCTTCAACGTAGTAACCATCTGTTATATTCACATTACGAGCATGCGTGTTAACCACTTTGCGCAACGAAGTTGCAATAACTGAATTTTTCCACATTAGTCTTCGACATGTACGTTACCGAACATTCGGGTTACAGAGGTATCGAGCATTTATCATGTATTATAATAATTTTCGAATTATAATGAAAATTATAGATAATGATCTTTGTGCAAACTTGTGAATTACAGATTTTTTTTTACTTACGCATAAACTTTTTTTTTCACATTATACATGTTCAGAATTTTTAATCGTGAATTGATTTAATATTTTGATCAGAGACTTTTAAGTTTTATATGAAAAACCATAGCCTATATTATACTAAAGTCTTAGTGCTTCTCAAATTATTAATTTTCAGAATTTTTTAAATATTTCTTATATCTATAACAATATTAAGTAGATATAATAAATTTAAATTAATTTGATATTATAATATTGTCAAACATTTTAATTTTGTAACATTAAAACATCGCTAGATTTTGTGTGGGCAATTGAACTGAATCGACTCGGTTTGGAACTGATCGGTTTATGGCCAAGGACCAATGAGACAGTTAAGAATACCTTCGTTTCTGATCTTCGTGTGGGCATGATTTTCTTTGTAATAACTTTCCTATCCATTATTCCTCTTTTATGCTCCTTTGTACAAGTTTGGGGCAACATGATACTTATGATAGACAACCTCCAAGTTACTTTACCTTTAATAGTGGTTTCGCTGAAACTTGTCATCATACGATGGAAGCGTACAGGTATGTCTAAAATTAATATACAGTTTAGGTTTAGACTTTCTCGTTTTTTGCTTCTTCGCCGAATTATTTATTGTATTTAATTTCTAAACTGTATTTTAGTAGGGTAAACTCGGGTAAGATGGCCATACAGGAAAGATGGCCAACCTATGTTCTTTTAATCTAGCTCGCCATGAAACATCGAATGGCCAACATGGGTTGGCCATCTTTCCTGTATGGCCATCTTATGCAAGTTTACCCTATATATCAGGATTGATGGTAAATTAATAAATAATGAAATATATTAATAAATTTTTTATTTATTTAAGAATAAGTAATTATAGAGCTTGCTAAGTATATAGGTTTATACTTTTTCATATAAATTGCTAATGTTTTTTTATACGTACAAGTTTATAACATTTTCAAGCTGTTGTACTTCTCGTAAATATGATGGCGGAAGATTGGATGAAATTAAAGATAGACTCAGAAAGAGACGTGATGATAAGACGAGCGCGAGCGGCGCGATTGATCGTAATCTGTGGATATTTTTTGATGATATTCGTATTCGTCGTGCTCATCGTTCTTCCTTCTTTCGGTCTACACTTCAGATATATAACAAATCTTACGAATCAGGAAAGACTGTTACCATTTCAGGCATATTACTTCTATAACACAGATAGAAGTCCACAATTTGAACTTGCGTTTGTGATTCAAGCTACGACGATGTTTGTAGGCGCAATAACTTATACCTCGGTAGATGCCTTTCTTGGACTTACGATCCTTCACATCTGTGGCCAATTGGAGAATTTCAAATATCGATTAGACAATTTGGTATCGTGCAAGGATTTCGATAGCACTCTGCGCATTAACGTAGAGACTCATTTACGGATAATAAGGTATTTCCATGGTTTATAATTGTCACAATAGCGTCACGATAACATTACAAACGATAGATATTAGTAGTCATGGTATAAGAAATTTTGTTAATTCTTTCTTAATTAATTCTATTTTTTATGATATCTCTTTTTCTCTCTCTTTCTTTTTGTATGTGAACTATTTAATGTAATTCTTTCTGTGTTCTACGTATTTATATTACATTAATAAATACAATTCTTAAACGTACCAACATGTATTTTGTTTCATTGAATATAAAATCTTTCTAAACATATTTACATTTATAGATTTGCCAGTAAGATTGAAGATATATTCACTTTAATGATGTTGGGACTAGTATTTTATTTTGGTATTTTATTTTGTCTATTTGGATTTCTATTGGTTACTGTAAGTGTGAATGAAAAGAGAACCTAAAGAATGTATATTAATTATGTAATTAATTAAAAATATAATTTTATTAATTAGCAGTAATTAGCAAGATGTATTATCCAGGTGATTAATGGAGACGAGATAGGTGACATATCTCCTTCACGAGTATGCTTTTTGGTGATTGGAATCTTTACTCTATTGGCGCATACATTGCTTTATTGTGGTGCAGGGGAAATTATGGCAGAGCAAGTAAGTTGTAATATTTATAATATACTCATTAATAAATAAAATATAAACTTAACACTTTTTAGTTTGTTTTTAATTTACATTGTAATCAATTTACACACACACACACACACACACACACACACACATTTATACGTATATAAAATAACAAATAGCATTATAACGGTGTTATAAGCTCGGTAATTCGTGTGTAGCTCAATAACTATTTTTATATACTTTAAATAAAATTAGATTATCACTTCTCAGATTTTCTTTACTTTTTTCTTATTTTTATTTTTAGATACAAACAAAGAATTAGTTAAAAATTCTAATTAATTTTAATTTATATTTATGGAATGTACTAAATGTTTAAATTTTATTGAATATAATAAAAATACTGAATCAACGCATTTATTCATATGTGTTTATACGTATCAAGTGTGAAGCAGTATACCACACTATGTGCAATCTTGAGTGGTACAAATTGGAATCAAGAAAAGAGAAAAATCTTATTCTATTAATGATACGTGCCAATGAACCTTTTCGTATCACTGCGGGAAAGATATTTCCACTAACAATGACCACATTTTGCAGCGTAAGATTATTAACAATTTAAATCTTATATAAATAACTGTTTATATATAAAATTTATGTATCGCTACTAATTAATACTTATCACTAATCTCTCCTCTGAACAAGAAAATGATTATATATTCTGATATTTACATATATGTATATATTTGACTTATTTGATATATTCCAAAAAATTAAAAAGTTATTAAAATTTTACATTACTTTCTACTTTATATTATTTCTAAATTAAGAAATATTTTTTAGCTATTAAAAACGTCAGCTGGCTACATATCATTTTTACTAGCAAAACGCTAGTTCATGAGAAACGTATGGTATATTACTTATTCGGAAGTAAGCTAAGAAAATAGGTATAAATAAAGTAATTAGAAATAATTTAATAATTATGTTAATCAGGGTAGGAGTAAATTTGTTATTGATTGTAAATTATATATTGTGAATGGATGTAACGTTTATCAAATATTCTGATTTAGAACGTGCTCTTAAACTCATGACGTGTCTTCTTATCAGTTAATGAACAAGTCAATAATCAGATAAACATATTTTACATATATTAAAATTATTATAATAAATAATATTTTTATGTAGTTATAAAATTGTTCACGATAGAACACAATACGTAATTGTATTTTAAAAAATAAATGCACATAAATTTATTAATAATTGTTATAATTATTGAAGGACAATTTAAAAACTTTTCTGATAAGAATGCATTGCAATATAATAATAACGATATTATAGTTCTATAGATCCAATGGTACACGCACTTCACATTTATTTACGATATTATCAAGAAATGCATATGTCTCTTCAATAGACATTCACAGTTTTCATATTGCTTATAGGACACTCTCTCTATATGTATATCCTTTTCCTCGCATCGCACTATTTCTCTAATATTTTTTCTGAATTTCTAGCTTTTGCAAAAGTATAATATTATACCCAGCAACTATACACATATGTCTCTATGAAATGAATACGATCGTCGTTACGCGAAGTATGAGAAAACTTTTAGCGTGTAATTTGACGCGTATTGGTGATGTACGATGTACATACCATGCACAATACAATATACCTCCCTTCTTATTAGCGTGAACGTTGTTTTTTGTGACTTATTCTTATGTTCGTAAAGTTTTGGAACGAAAGGAACAGCTGTTATCAAATGGGAATAGCATTTGTAATATTTAATGCATTCTTCGACGAAGCAGCCAGGTTATTGCACTCACATCGCGGACATGCGTGATAAACATCTTTGGCACTAGTATGGCAAGTGAGCGTCTTCGCATTAGTCTTCGGCATGGACATTTCCAAACATTCAGGGTACAGAGGTAGCGAACATTTGATATGTATCTTTTGCGAGTAAGAGCGAGAATTTCCTGAACATTTTTTGGATTAGTATAATTGCTATATTTAAATAAATACTAGTATTTAATATATAAGCTAGGATTGTGTGTGTGTGTGTGTGTGTGTGTGTGTGCCTATAAATATTTTATTTCGCAAATGTGATGTTTGCAAAAAGAGATATTCTTGAATATTGTTATAAAGTTGCTATAGTTTTTAGAATTCTTTCGTAATCTTTAATAATTATACGTGCCCGAAATTAAAAATTCTTGTATAATTTTCTGAATTTTTAGTTTTAGAGTTTCAAGATATCGTAAATTTCATTTATTAAATAAATTTAAGTATTAAATAATAATTATTAAAATTAAGTAAATTTTTTTCTAATATATATAACTTTAACTTGTTACTAGATTTTACGTGGGCGGTTGAATTAAATCGCTTGGGTTTAGAACTGATCGGATTATGGCCCAAGAGCGATAAATTATCTAAAAATAAATTCGCTTCCGATCTTCGCGTGATCATTATTTTCGTTATAGTGGGCTTTGTCTCTGGTATACCTCTCACATGCTCCCTTATACGAGTTTGGGGGGACATGATACTTATGATAGACAATCTCCAAGTTACTTTACCATTTCTAGTGGTCTTGTTGAAACTTGTTATTATGCGATGGAAACAAACAGGTATGATTGGAATTATTTATGTAACACAAAACTATCAAAAAAGTTTATATTTATTATACAAAATATATAAAGCTTAACGTGTTTTTAAAGGTACTTGCCTTATCTTTAAAACGTGACGCGATGTGGGATGGTCCTGCAGTAAATGATTATTTTGCTATATTTCAAAGCACTTTTATCCATCATAAAAATGATGGCAGAAGACTGGATGGAATTGAAGACAACAAAGGAGAGAGATGTAATGATGGAACGAGCACAGATTGCCAGAACTATTGTCATTAGCGGATACGTTCTAATGGTATTGGCGTTCATTGTGATCATTGTTCTTCCGTGTTTTGGCTCAACGTTAAGGCATTTGACAAATATCACGGATCCGGG